TTTTTTTTTTTTTTTCAGAATTGCTGAAACTTTGAACTTTTTCTCTCAACTTCAACTTTATATCACTCAATATTCTGAGATGAAAAATTGCTTCCATTTTTACTTCTGTGAAACTTCTAAAAGAACATTATGAAAGTGGTTTTCTAATTGCATCTTAACATTTCTGCTCATTGTGGCTCATCTATGAAAAATTATCAATGCAGAGTTGCTTTGATTGCGAAGACTGATGGGAATGTTCTGTCTCCTCCACAGGGAAGGCCGGGAAAAGATGGAATTCCAGGCTATACGGTATGTGTGTATACAGTTTATGCACGAGCGAGCTTTGGCTTCAGCTGTACTCTGTGTCTAATATGATAAGGTTAGGAGAAAATGAATGCTTTTACTTTTATACATACAGCATGTAATAACTTGTGCTCTAATATTTCGCCAGCGAGTTAGGATAGTGGATTGTGGTTAGACTCGGTCTACATTTATCTCTGTCTCACTCGATTTCTTTCTTTCCCAAGCAAATAAAAACCCAACACCAGTCATTAGTCTTGTAAAGTTTTCAATAATAATACCGCTTTACTCCCTGCTAATGCTCTACAGTGTGGATAAAATCCTGCCCATGAGCCATTAAATCATGAATGATGCATGCAATCACTAATTAAATGTCCCTACAAACAGGGTTTATAGTTTCGAAAGCCTTGTCACGTCAAACAAAAAATGTTTCATTCTCTGATGCCTTGTCACAACAGAACACATATCTACAGCAGAACTGTGTGACAAATCGCATTTTTGCACTTTACAGCAGTGAGCAGACACATCAGAGAGCCGCCAACACACAATCTCGCATATTTACTCCTCTGTCACAGACAGACAACCGTAGTAAATACAGCATACATCTGCAGATCTGAATGACGTTTTATATAGGATTACAATGAGGTTACGATGGTTAGCTGGCCCAGTTTGCCTCTGCTGGTTGATATTGTAACTACAACATCTGGCTGTAATAATCAAGCGTTTTGACCAGTGTTATTTACAGTATGTATTGTTATAGTATTTATTAATATTTTGAATTTTTATTTATTCACATTTCATTTTATTTTTAGTTTTAGATATTTTGTTATATGCTTTTTTTGCTTTAATTTTGTTTTTCAGTTTTAGTAATTTTAGTACTTATTTTACTTCAGTCAACATTTCTAATTTTAGCTTTTAATCTAATTATTTATATTGTTTTAGATGTTATTTAATTTCAGCTATAATTCAATTCAGAGTTATTATATTTAATTCAAACTAAAATAATTTAAAACAAAAATTGTGTTTCTTGAAATAAAAAAAATGTTAACTGAAATCAAATGTGAAAAAAACGTAACTAATTTAGTAAATCCAAGTGTATTTTATTTCAGCTAGTTGTCAAGGCATCATTTCTCATTAACTTGAAGTACTAAAATAACTCAAACAAAATAAACTAAAGCTAATAAATAAAAATTGATAAAAAACTATATTGACAAAAATGTACAACAAAATGACTAAAACTTCGAAATTGAAAAAAGTGAAGAAAAAAATCGAATTTAAAATATTTACACAAACTATAATAGTATAGCAATGATACTAAAATATATATTTTTTTACTTAACTTGCATTTTATTTGTTTAACTTGATTGGCTCAAGCAGAACCGAGCAGCCATGAGTCAAGAAAGTGGATTTTAAACCATGTTTTTTTCAACGAGCAGTTCACCTTTTCCCACTTCATACTGTCTCTGGATGAGTCAAGGTTCAAATGGGTGCGGATCATCTGGAGGAAGTTCACTGGCCTTATTTTCGCTTTCATTCACGTCACCATCTTCTCAAATGGCACGACTGCGTGTTTGCGGGGTGTTGGACCACTCATTGAGATTTCCTCTATTTTCTTTTCTTTTCCCCCTCCCTGCTTCGTTCATGAATCTTTCGGTGGTGCAACAGTGCCATCTAGCAGGAAGGAAGTTTCTCGGTCCTCTCCGTTTCATACTTTTCCATCTCTTTTATGGCAGGGGCTGAGGGAAACACAATTCAGTGGGCACAGTGATGGCTTTAAGCTCTCCTCATCAGGAGCCTGGGAATAGAGAGGAGGAGAGAGAGTGTTAGACATTGATGGGGGTGTGGATGAAAGCAAATGGTTGAGGATGCTTTCACAAAGTGCCGCCCGCTTTAGAAACGCAGGCTAGATTGCATTTCTTTTTTGCTCGGCTGCTGTAATCCAGCAGGAGAATTTGATACCGAGATGTTCCCCGAGGAGCTAGTGGGAGCCGTGATGCGAGAGAGGAGCAGAGATAGATGGGAAAGCGAGGGGAGGGAGAAATGCAAGAGTGGTTTTGGAGTACAATGAGAGGTGTTTCTCTACAGAGCCCTCTCAGAGGAGATGGAGAGAGAGGTAGAAGAGAAAGAGAGATCCAGAGATTCACGGCTTTGAGTTTGGGGAGAAAATGGTCATTTGTAAATCCTCCGAGCTTTTTCGCTCTGCTCTCGACTGAATAACTGGACAAGTTGGCCCATTAAAGCAGCCAAATAATTTCATTCCTCTAAAGCGGCTTGGGAGCGGTCTATGAAAAATAGTGCAGTTTAGCTGTCTATATGTATGAGGGTTTACTTCAGTATATGTATAACATTAACATATAATATTTCAAATAAAAAATGTAAATATCTAATATCTAATTTATATGTCCTGAGATACCTTTACCTTTGTACCTTTGTGCTTTTTCTTCATTTCTTGGAATTCTCTCTCTTTGTATTTTCACAGGGAGCCACAGGCAGACCTGGAGACAGAGGTACTAAAGGAGAACGGGTAAGATTTCATATTTTGTTTTGATGGATTGCATACACTGTAAAAGGGTCAGTGTGATAATCACTGTTGTGTAAACAGCATGAAAGAAACCATTTTTTTTATTGTGACAAGAAAGCTATAAAAGGAGAAATAGCAAGAAGAAAGCATATCATTAAACATATCACTAATAAAAAAAAATAATAATAATAAAATGTGTTGCTCTATTAATGACTACAAATCTCTAATCTCCATGTAGTAGTTTTGATTGGTTATATGGTGCACTGAATGTAATACAGCCAGATGCTATTATTAGTTGAAGTTGCGGGAGCTCACAATAGTCAGCTTGTGTTGTTTAGATTCTGTTATTTATATTCTGGTGTTGCCTTTGCAGGGAGATACAGGGATTCCAGGAGAGAGAGGAGTACAGGGAGAAAGAGGCAAACCTGGTGAAAGAGGGGGCTTTGGTCTTCAGGGGCAACCTGGACAGAAAGGAGAACCAGGCACACCTGGATCTTTAACAACACCAGGGACTGTCAATCTGTTGGTATGTAAATAATCCTACAGATACAAGCCATAGAGAGAGAATGTAGCATCTGTTAAATCACTGTTCTAAAAGACTTTCCATTTTTACTTCACACATACAAGTAAAAGTGTTAGTTTCTTTCAAAAAGGACAAATTAAATGATCAAAAGTGACAGAAATATTTTGTAACATATATTTGTACTAATTCAATTGTTCTTTTGAATTTTCTATTCATCAAAGAATCCTGAAAAAAAAATGTATCACAATTTCCACAAAAATATTAAGTAGCACAATCATTTTCAATATAGAAAATATGATGCTACTTGAGCACCAAATAAGCATATTGATATTTTTTCTTCTATGATTTCTGAAGGATCATGTGACACTGAAAACTGGAGTAATGGCTGCTGAAAATTCAGCTTTGCCATCATAGGAATAAATTGCATTTTCTAATATATTAAAATAGAAAACAGCTATTTTAAATTATGATCATATTTAACAATATTGCTGTTTTACTGTATTTTTTTTATCAAATAAATGCAGCCTTGGTGAGAATAATAGACTTCATTCAAAAACTCGGAAATATCTTACTGGCAACTTAATATAGGCAGTATTAATACTGGTAATATTAATAATTTCATACATTCTTAAAATCTTGATATTGTGTGTATTAAATGTCATAGAACCTATTTTTAAGTATATTTATTTAAAGATTTGTTTAAATTTGTACATAATTTGTTGAAAGTTTCAATGGTTTGGTTTAAAAAAAAAAAAAGACAATTTATCTGACTATTATTTCATAAATTCATGTGTCAGGCTTTACAGGGTTAAGGAACGTTCACATCAACAGAGATTTACAGCAATAAAGCAACCGGCAATCATTGGTTTGCAATGCGAGTTGACGGTTGAAGCAATCTGAAGCAACATCAGCAGTACATGAGCATAATTTTTTTGTGTCAAGAAAACGGATTCAGTGTCAAACAGTACAGCCCATTTGAGATCAGATTTTCAGGAGCAGAGCCAGTCAAATAAACCGTATAGGGCCTTCAGCAACATGAACACCCACTACAATCAACTGTACAGCCACTCGATAACCTCCAGCAATAAAATCACTGTCAGCGTGAACCCTTTTTCAGATTACAGTGACTGCATACTCCTCTGGAGGTGGAGCACATCTTTGACCTCCGTAAAGATCCAGTTGCTGGCTTTCTCCCAATCTACACCAGCCTCCTGGCCCCCGTCCCGAATCCATATCCGCAGGTCGCCCCATGCTATTCAGAGGGCAACCGTCATTGATTGCTTTGTTGTGCATAACACACTCGTGAACACTCCAGAATAAATAATTAGGAGCTCTGCATAACAATAATTACCCACACGTGTTCGCAAACCCATCAGCCTCTGAAAAGCACAGTCTGCAGCAATGAGCCGCCCGCTGCGAGGCCTATATCCAACGCCCTCGCTCCAAATCAAACAAACTCACAGCCATGTCACTCAGGAGGGGACCATTAGGAGTGTATTGTGTGTTGCGGGGGTGGAAGAATATAGTAACGTAGGAGCTCTACGCAACTCCGCCTCTAAACCACACACACAGACAGAACTACAAACATTAAAGGGACAGTTCACTCAGTCAAAAATGAACATTCTGTCATCATTTACGAACCTTCAGGTTGTTCCAAACCTAAAACTATGACTTTCTTTTTTCTTTTGAACACAAAAAGTGATATTTTTGAAGAATGTTGGTAACCAAAGAGTTGATGATATCCATTGACTTTTATAGTATGGAAGTCAAAGGCTATCATCAACTGTTTGGGTGAACTAGCCCTTAATGCTCTTTGAAGGATGACAGTTTTTTATGGAGTTGATAGAGTTTAAAAGGGATATTTCACCCAAAAATGAAATCATGTTGTTCCAGTATGACAGACTTTCTTCTGTTGGACACAGTAGCTGAATTTATGAATAATATCTTAGTTGCTCTTTTATATAATGAAAGTGAATGAAAACTAGGGCTGTCAAGCTTCAAAAAGAACACAAAAGTGCAATAAAAATCGCATAAAAATAATCATTATATGCTTCTATTCATGATTTTAGGGTTTTTATTCACCAAGGATACATTAAATTGGTCATAAGTGACAGTAAAGACATTTATAATGTTACTAAAGACGTGTTTTTTTAAATAAATGCTGTTCTTTTTAACTTTATATTCATCAATGAATCCTGGAAATATAAAGCAGCATGATTGTTTTCAACACTGAAAATAAAAATAAATGTTTCTTTAGCACTAAATCAGCCTATTAAGAATTATTTTTAAAGGATCATGTGACTCTGAAGACTGGAGTAATGATGCTGAAAATTCAACTTTGTCATGACAAGAAAAAAAAAGTTCACACACATA